TTCCCTGATCTTAGCATGTAAATAGAATCTCCATTCAATCTTTGGCTTAAACCAGAAATTTGAACATTATTCCTGACTCCTCCTTCCTCCTTATCACCTAATCAATGAAACCTAATCAATCGCCACAATCCATCAGCTCTACCTCCTAAAGTCCCTTGAATTCATCTCGTTCTTTCTATCCCCATTCTCACTCCCTCAGTCTTGTCACTTTTTGCTGGTTAAGAAATGGCCTCTTAACTGATCTTTCCTGACTCCAGTCTTGGCCCCCTCTTTCCAATCTTCAGGCTGATGCCAAATGGTCATTCTAAATCATAAGTCCAGTTGTGGTATTCTCTTAAATTCCGTGGTTGGTTCCCCAAAGCCTGTAGAATAAAGTGCAAAATTCCAAGAATATTATACATGGCCCTTCAGGATGAGCAACTGCTTCTCTCCCCATCGCATTGCTAGACACCCTTCCTCAACACCTCCATGCTTTAGCCAGAGTAATCTATATTTCATTTGTAGAAATCAACTTACTCTCTCTTTCCTCTGTGCCTCTGCACATGCACAATTGTTGCTTTTGTCTGGAATGCCGTCTGGACTAGCCTCTTTACATGGCTAAATCTTTCAAAACTCAGATCAGGAGTTAAAGAGTTAAAAGGCTAAAGAAATGAAGAAAGTGGTAACCTGAAATAAGGAAAGCCTTCACCAGTTTAAGGCCAACCTAGAGAACAAAAGTTCTGACCTATGAGGGCCCTTATTCTAGTACAGTGCAAACAGACACAAAAGCTAGATTAGAAAGTGCAATACTTCATTTCCCAAATCTCAACTCTGTCAAAACCTTCTATGTAGTTGTGTGTGTGTGTGTGTGCTTCTGCGGGAGGGAGATTAGCAGCCCAGGCAGAAACCTGAATAAGGAAAGGACTTGTTATCGCTCCCCATTCCCATCCTCTCCTACCACAGCAGCAGACCCTAGAAACACCTTAGTGTGGGCTTCAGAGCAGAGAAGAGATGCACCTGGAGGGCAAGGACTCAGCTGATCCTTCCAACCCCTGACCTTCACAGAGAACAAGAGCCAATACACCATGTGGCACAAAAGCTGTAACATTCTAAATCTGAGACCACAAAACATAATGGTCTGGCATCTGGCAAGCCCTCAATAAATATTTGTTGAATATTTGGACAAACATAAAGTAAATAGGTAACACAGGCGCCAGCCCTGTGGCCGAGTGGTTAAGTTCGAGCGCTCCGCTTTGGCGGCCCAGGACTTCACCGGTTCGAATCCTGGGCGCAGACATGGCGCCTCTCGTCAGTCCATACTGAGGTGGCGTCCCACATGCCACAACTAGAAGGACCCACAACTAAAAATACACAACTATGTACCGGGGGGCTTTGGGGAGAAAAAGGAAGACTAGGATCTTAAAAAAATAAATAAATAGGTAACATAAGCAAAATGATGATTGTTGAAGCTCAGTAATGAGTTTGAAATCCAAAATAAAAACTTTTTTTAAAAATGCAGTAAAATCCAAATTCAAGTTATGTGTAAAGTATATTCAGTAAACAGTAAATATTAGTTACTAAACAGGAGGTATACAAGATATCCTGCATTTCTGAAGATAATAATAATATCAAAGTTGTTAGAGGACCAAATAAGATCATGTGTGTTTAAGTTCAGCACATGGCCTGGCACATGGGAACCATAAAACAAATGCAAACTTTTTATTATTGGCAGCTCTTGGCTTTGAGCCCTGCACTCAACAGAGTCTATGGCCATTAAACTAAATGCTAGAGAGCTGGGGATCTCTCCCCAGTGTTTCCCAGCGCCTTTCTATAGCAGTAATTACTGGACAAATCAAAAGTTTAGTTTTTCATGGAATATAGTAAACTCTCAATTAATTGGAAGGGGTTACTTATCTGAGGTAGCTAGAATTTCTGAATGGCAAGATATACTTGACATTATTAGTCTGTTTTCTATGCATCCTTCTCCTGGCATCCCCACCACCCCCTAGATTATACACAATTTCTCTGGGATCCCAGAGGCTAATGAAGACTCAAAGAAGCCACCGCCAAGCAAGTTCTCTTCAAATGAATCAGACAGGGCAGATGTACTAGAGAACAGCTGAGGAGGTGGCAGGGGCTGAAATAAATAGTTCCAGGAAGGATCGAGAAGTAGAGGGGAAGGGACTCTGCTGAGATGCTTTGGAGCCTCACTTCCTCAGCCCTCATCAAAGTTGGACGAGCCTACAACCAAAAGTTCTGGACATTTGTCAGGGAGCCTGAACAGAGTAAGGTGCAAAGCTTCCTCCAATCTCCAGGATGGAAACAGAATCAATTAGGAATTTCCCTATGAGTCAGGGCAGCATCTGACACACCATCACTATTATACCTGCTTGTTCGAATTTTTGTTGCTCAAAGGCACTTCTGTGGTCTACAATGCAGAGAATATGATTAAATCTTCCTGCTCCTGCCTGGGATTCTTGCCCAGCCTCAAGGCTATTATTCTGAGCTTTGGTTCTTGCTGCACTTAACTAGTGATGGAGAAGAAAGTATGAAGATGGCAGCTGAATATATCATTGAGCCTAGAAAATACTCCAGCAGTTAGTCATTTGAAAAATTCCTAGTAGAAACTCATTACTAAATCTACACGTCTTTAAAAATAAAATCATAGTTAGTGAAGGGCTCATTTTCCTTCTTTTACAAGAGTATATAATTGAGTCTTACATTTGCACATTTGCTAATTAGGCCTCTTAAATTATTTAAACAATATTCTATATTCTAATATGATGGAATAAAAATAACAGTGGGGATGAGGGGAAGGAGAAAAGGTAAAAAATGTCCCCTTGACTTGATTATGTTTAATCAATGTTTCTTCAGTGCTATTGAAACAAGTGTTTCCATGTAGGCATTTCAGATTTTAATAAAAAGAAAAATAGCAAGATGCTAATGTGAGAGAAAACATTTTTATCACATAAACAATGATACATTACCTAGAGCTTTATGTGAAAAATTCAAATATAAACAAGGTGTAGAAATTCATATACCCAATTTAGATACTTTTATTACTGTTAAATAAACAATTCTAATACTCTGATTCTAAGCTGAGAATAAAAGGCTAAATCTGACAATAGAAAAAACACAAATGTACGTTTAAGCAAGACATTTCCAAAGAAACATTAGTAATTTAATAATAAAGGCTACCATTTATCAAGTATTTACTGTGTTCTGGACACAGTGCCTACCTCTTTATGTATTTTGCATTATTTAATCCTCTTAATAACTGTACAAATAAGGTACTTTTCATATTTTTGAGAAAAGAAAATGGAAACAATGTGATTTAACAACCTGCTAAAAGTCACATAGCTAGTTAGCAGTCTGCACTTTGAAAACAAGTCAGTTTTATTCCAAAGTCTAGATGTTTCTATTGTCCACAAGACTACAGGTTCCACGAGGACAGTTTGTTCTTCACTGGCACCTAATATGAGTACATGTGTATACATTCCTAATTTTGTGACTAAAAGCCAAAAGGAGAAACACGTACATTTGTAAATTCACACCTTATTGTGAGATATACTTTTTAAATGTTTTAATTGCCCATTTACATTCATTACGTGTTTGTTTTCAAGGAGCATCAAGACCCCTTACCCATTTGAAAGGCCGCACTTTGACCTGATTATGTAGCTGAGGTATTATTTTGAGATATTAACTTTTTCTCCCTGGTTTTCCTTTCCCTTTTCTCCCTACAACTCAGTCCCCATTTCAGGGCTTGGTTCTGCGGCACTGCCGCAGGAAAGCACAAGGCAAGGCAAATAGCAAAGATGCAAGCAAATCTTTCAAATTTTCACTTTTCCAAGATCAGATAGCCACTAATTAAGAAGGGGCCATGAGAAGTGATAACTGATTACTTCCTTACCAGTCCTTAGGCCGTTTTAATGTAGGACCTTCTCATTTGTGACAATCTGGGTGGGGGAGAGAGAGGGAGCGGCACCAGGAAGGCTTCAAGCTAATTATTTTCCCAGTAACCTGGCATAGGCTCAAATCACAGATTAAGTTCATTTACAGTAAATATAAAGAATAATATTGCTTCACACACAGATGTGAAGATTCATAGACATTAAAATTTTGCCCACGTATTCTCCTTAACAGTCAATCACACACCTTTCATTTTAAGCCACTGAAAAACTACCAACGTTTCTATCTCAATCTGCTCAAAAATCAAATTCAGAAAATTGGTAGAAGAAGAATTTACGTAGCCCAACTCCACTCTGATAAATTCTACAAAAAGCAACATAAGGCAAGGATCAATTGATAGCCAAAGCTCACAGGGAGAAATTTCTGGAAGCTAGCCACACCACAAAAAATCCACCACCTCTCCAACTGCAATAAAAAATCAACGCTTTACTTTTTTTTGTAACTAGCCACCGTATTTTCAGAAAGAGAGGACAGAACCACTCTACTAAACCGCATGAAACAAAAACTTCCAGTACATTCTGGAATGATATTCTGGCCAATCGACTGCCAGCAGAGACCTTACCCGGGAAGGGGTTGGTGCGTGCAGCGTTAAGTTCGCCCTCCTCTTCATTGAAGACACTTTGGGAAATTCTCCAATGAGAGACGCTTAGAGGTAGGGGGCTTGGCCTCAAGAGGCGGAGAATTTGACTCCAGGATAATAGAGCTTGTGTGCTGATTGGCCGGACTGCCTCCCTATACGGACCAGTCCTCTTTGGACCGAGGGAGCCATCCATCAAAAGAACTACACCAATCAGCGGTCAAAACGCCCTCCTCCCCCCTCGCAGGAAAACCCCGCCCTCCAATATATTACTGAGGCGGGCAGTCACGGCCCCTTCGGCTCCGAGCTGACCGTGAGGAGGGCAGTGTCGTCTGGGCGGCGCTGCGCAGACCTCCTCCCAGGACGGCTCCCCTCCCCGGGCCTCTCCCCTCTTGCCCGCGAGTCCCCTCGCCTCGTAGGCCTCTCGGATCTGATATCGTGGGGTGAGGTGAGAGCAGGCCCGGGGAGGGTGGTTACCGCTGAGGAGCGATCAAGGTGAGCTGGGACTGCGGGGTTGACCTGTGGGTGCGGGTGGGGAGCGGGGTTAGGGGCGCGGGGTGAGGGATAGGTCTGGCCTGCGCCCTTTTCTTCGATTAACTCTCCCGCTGCTGTAAGCAACTAGTCCAGGCTAGTCCGAGCCCGGAGGGGCGGGGCCAGATCCGACCTCCAGAGGTGTCTTAGAGTCAGGGCAGCCGGGTCCCAGGGACCAGCCCAGGGGCGAAAGAGTTGGACCCGTAAAGTTAGTGGCTCCTCATCTGCCCACCCCTTCCGGCGCTCGAGCCTAAAGATCCCCTCCCCTCCTGTGTTCCAGTTAATGTGGGGAGGGACCAGGGCTTAGCCTGTGCCTGGGACATAGTAGATGTGTAATACCCAGGCTTAAATTAATGAAACTCCCAGGTTCATTTTGCAGGCTAAATTAGCCTCCGGCCACCACTGCGTGCTCCCACAGCATTCTTTAAGCTTTCTTTCCTAACACCAGTAAACGTTAACAATTATTGAGTGCTGTGTGCCAAGCAAGCACTGTGCTAAACTCTACGTGAATCATCTTGTTTAATGTTCCGAGCCATTCAGAGAGACAGGTATAGATACCTCATTTTACAGACATAGAAATAAGTTCATTATTATTGTCCAGTGTTTCTCAGGCACCTATTATATGTGCCAAGCTCTACACCTAGGTGAGCTCATTTATTCCACACAAGTCTATGAGGTAGGTGATAACCTTATACCCACTTTACAGATGAGGAACTGAAGACTAAGAAAAATTAACTAACTTGAACAGTTCACACTGTCAATATATAGCAGAATACATACTACCATCTCATTTCAAAGTTTTGGTATCCTGTCTTACAGCATCTATTCATCATTCTCTCTTGACAATGAATAACGTGAACAAGTACTTCTTGTATTTTTTGCAATTTTTTTTAGAAGGGCATGGCTCCTGCCCTCTAGGAACGCACAATTTAGGATGTGACCAATGAGTGGGGTGGGGGGAATAACAGGTGGCACGGTGCAGTGACTTAGATTCACCAGCAGCACTGGAAGAGGGGCGACTTGTGCTGTAAAGCACTTGGCACAACACAGCGGAGGAAGGGCTATTCTTACACTCCTTTCTGGGCTTTGTTCTATACATAGATGATAGAGGTACTGACAACTGACTCTCAGAAACTGCTACACCAGCTGAATGCCCTGTTGGAACAGGAGTCCAGATGTCAGCCAAAGGTCTGCGGCTTGAGACTAATTGAATCTGCACACGATAATGGCCTCAGGATGACTGCAAGGCTAAGGGACTTTGAAGTAAAAGATCTTCTCAGTCTAACTCAGTTCTTTGGCTTCGACACAGAGACATTTTCTCTAGCTGTGAATTTACTGGACAGATTCCTGTCCAAAATGAAGGTATGTTTAAAGCTACATTACCCTGAGTATTTGTTAGTTTTGCTCAATGTGTTTTGGAGATGGAATTGCTAGCTTTGGGCTAGTAGTCAAAAATTTGACCTTTTTTATTTTCAGCAAGTAGCCAAAACATAGTAGTTTTATGTACTACAGAATTGCTGAACACTCTTCCTTATAATCAAGAGTAATACATCATTTATTAGGTTTGACTGTGAAAAATAGTCTAATATCAAATAATTAATTGCAGGGTCTCCCAGTAAGAGAGTTGGCTATTGTTTTTAAAAATCTTTCTTGATACGTTGGGTATTTTCATTTGTTTGCTGTTGTTTTAAGGTTAAAGAAATGTGTTGGAACCAGAATGCTAGATTATGGTTAAGAATTAGAGAATATAAATATATATTTTTTGATGCTGTCAATCACCTACATACCTAGTCAACAGAGTATCTCTCCTCATATATAATCTCTCCTCATATATAAAGTTCTAATTGTTTTAGCCTTAGACCTGCTCAGGTCTTGCTTATGCTTGGCATCTCCAGCCTCACTTTGCATACAGTAGAAAGGAGACTATCTTCTGAAGGAGGAGCATTTATATAATTATTTCCCTATATTGGATAAGCAGGACATCAGTGTAGCTTTCCAAGCTTGACTGTTAAAAATACATCTGCTTTCTCTGTGTGCCCATGGTCATTGGTGGATGATGAGATAATGTGACAATTAAAATGAAACTCATTTAGTTTTCAGTACCTAACAATGTATCATATACAAAAGAAACTCAGTCTTTAATTGGATTATTCAAGAAATTTGTTCAATAGACTAAACAACGCTTTAGACACCATGTGCAGGCACGACCTTTGACTCTATAAATGTTGCACAGATGAATAATATACATCTGTCCCTTGACTATATTAAAATCTTATGTGGGAATAATGTTTGCACTGACAATTATCATACAGTTATACGGCATAATAAGAAAAATAAATTATACCTCAAAAGAGGCATAAGTATATTGCTTAGGGGGTTCCAAGAAGAGGAGGAGAACACAAATACTGGTAAAGGCTTCTCAAACTTTCAGTTGACCAGAACTTAGTTGGGCCGGTAGAATTTTGACTGCCTCTCATTGTAGACATTCAGAAAATGATCAATAAATTTTAAAAAAGGAGAGATCAGTAGAGAATAGAGCTTTACAGGAGCACAAAGAATATGTGCTACAATATTTAAAAACTATTTTACATGTGTTACTACAAAGAAAACAGCCTGGAAACACTCAACATTCTGGAAGGAAATTTTGTGCATAAGCTGTAAGGTGTTTCAGTCCTCCTGTAAGCCTTTGACCAGGTAACTGATTTGGTCCAATCAGAACACAGTGCTTATAGTTCTGCAGTGATCTAAACAACAACAACAATAAAAGTAAGAATTCTTATGTGCTGGAGCCAAACATTTTACTGAAACTTAGTCCATTTACTCAAAAGTGGGTTCCAGGTGGGGTGCATAGGGTTGACAGGCTACAGTTGAGATATGAGTGGACCTCGTTAAGTCCTTCTCAAGTGAGAAATATTACCTCAGAGATACATTTTTGAAATGATGGATCTGAGTTCTAGATTATCCTTTGTTTTTTTAATTGAAATAAGGTAAGGACATGGGCTTATTGTCTTTTTAGGTACAACCCAAGCACCTTGGGTGTGTTGGACTGAGCTGCTTCTACTTGGCTGTAAAATCAATAGAAGAGGAGAGGAATGTCCCGTTAGCAACTGACTTGATCCGAATCAGCCAGTATAGGTTCACGGTTTCAGACTTGATGAGAATGGAAAAGATTGTGTTGGAGAAGGTGTGTTGGAAAGTCAAAGCTACTACTGCCTTTCAATTTCTGCAACTCTATTATTCACTCATTCAAGAAAACTTGCCATTTGAAAGGTATGTGATCTTGGTTTTGAACAAAGGAGATTTGGAAGTCAGAATGGTGTTGTCTGGATGGTGCATGAAATCAATATCCTGGGAGAATTCCAATCAAAAGAAATAAAATGAAAGCTCTGGCTCCTTAAATTTCACTTCACTGTCCAGCAGAAGTGAGAAGACCTTAAATTGTCAGTAGCTTCTTGAAGTCTGTGAAGGCTAATTTTGGGGATTAAAGGACATTTCAACTTTTTTTTTAAATTATATTTTCCATTTATAGACTAGTTAACTTATAGAAACTAATAAGTTAAGCATCTAATAGATTTATGGAAAAAGTAACTTTAGTAGATGCAAAAATAAATTTATTAAAATGAAAAGAAATCTTGATACTGGTGGCATCTCCAAAGCAAGGGGAATTCTTTACTTCAAATAATTTATTTCCTATGATAAGTGTGCATAAACTTCACTTTAAAGTAACTTCAATGTTTTTCTAAAAATTTGTCTTTTGACTAGATTTAAAATTATCTATGTAAAATTAACCTCATTTTCTTTTTAAAGGAAGAATAGCCTTAATTTTGAAAGACTAGAAGCTCAACTTAAGGCATGCTACTGCAGGATCATATTCTCTAAAGCAAAGGTAAATATTTTATAAAGGTTAAACCTATTTGTAGACCTATTTTTATATTCAACATTTACTTTAAAATTTATCTCTTTTTAGCCTTCTGTGTTGGCATTGTCCATCATTGCATTGGAGATCCAAGCCCAGAAGTGTGTAGAGTTAACAGAAGGGGTAGAATGTCTTCAGAAACATTCCAAGGTACGTCAAGGTCATAGCCTAAAGCCTGTTAACAGCTGTAAAAGAAACTAAACCACTTGTACTATTTCCTGAAGTAAAATGAGATACCATGTGTTTATTTGAAACTTAAGTAGCTTATCCTCAAATTTTTTTGACGAGGAAAGACGCATGTTAAGATTGTAGGTATTACTGTGGTTAAATACTGTCGGAGTTTTATTTTGAGTAATAATTTTTTAAAATTTATGCACAGATAAATGGCAGAGATTTGACCTTCTGGCAAGAGCTTGTATCCAAGTGTTTAACTGAATATTCATCGAACAAGTGTTCCAAACCGAATGTTCAGAAGTTGAAATGGATTGTTTCGGGGCGTACTGCACGGCAACTGAAGCATAGTTACTACAGAATAACCCACCTTCCAACAATTCCTGAAATGGTCCCTTAATTGGTAAATTTGTTCATAGTTATTCTCCAAATAGAGAAAATTTTCTAATGCTACAGTTTTCTTCTGCATTTCAAGAATTAAAATCTGAATTATTTTCAAAACAAAATGGAGTTGAATAGCAAAGGGAAAAATGATTTGACTGATCTTGTCAGCTAATATTTGAGGGCATTTATTACGTGCAAGGTACAAAACTCTCAGAGTAAGGAATTATCCAACCTTTGACATATGCATTAGCCATTTCGTTAAATTATCAGCTCAGAAAACAGCATCCTCCTTAATGACCTGAATTTTAAAAGTAGCACTAAAACCGTATTTTCTTAATTGCACATCATTTGTTACATGTAGACTGAAGCTCTGGCTCACTTAAAGTTACACAAGCCTGAGCAGGACAACAGGACCAAATTGAAGCATTTATGAACTGATTTGAGACTATTAGCTTCTAAGCAAAATCAGTATAAATTTGGGTGTTGTACCTAAAGAAAAAGTTGTGGTAGATTGTCTCCACATTGGGGGTATCATTGTTATGGCAGTTGGAACACTGCAAAGTAGTTATATGCATAAAAAACATAAACTTCGTCACTGATATGACATATATTCTTGCCCTCTAAATTTAACTCACAGTGGTGATTTAACTTTTTCTCTACTCAGGACTAAATGTTAACGTTGAACACATCTACATATAACATGATTATGAATCTTAGATATGAACAGTCCATTTTTAACAGGTAGTAAGATTTATGTTTGGGACACTTCTGATAACTTGATTTTTTGTTTGTTTAAATAGGATTATTACAGCAACAAAAACTCTTCTCTGAAGCCTCTCCACAATCCTGAGCTGTGGATTCCTTAATGTTCTAATGGATGTAAGCTGTGAAGCCTCAAAACATCACAACTAGATTAGCACTGATGTGCTCAGATTTGGGAAAACTGCCTAATTAACATTATGCTGTACAGGAATTATGCTTAAATTTGAATTCATCTGTGAGTGAGGCATACAAATCAAAGCTAAGAGCGTAAATGTGAAATGCAAATAAGCCTGGGAAGGTAAACTGTGAATCTTCATTTCTAACATTGATCCAACTTTCTATATTGGGTCAATATATTGTATTTAGGTAAAATTAAAAATGGTAACCTACTTAATTTAAATTTTAAATTAAGAGGTTTACATCAAAACCAACATTTCACAAATGCACTTTTAAGACATAACAAGTCACTATTCTAGGCAGTAAAAATGGTTTCTTGGCGCCTGTAATACATAATCTAGAGATGCGGACTTTATTGCTACATGGGAATTACATTTAAATTTGAGGATATTTTATATAAAGAAAACTAAAGACCTAGTAATTTTGGCATATTATCTTTAATATTTTTTCTAGAAAACAGGTAACGTTTGTATGTATCCATGATAAAAAATTTTTATACAAAATCTGCTGCAACCTAGCCCCATCAAGAAAATTAGTCTTTATTGTATTTGTAACTCAAAGTAAATTAACATCCCTCTTAAAACTTGCCGATTTAACACTCCAGAAGTTTTTACTAAGGACTAAGGACTGTTTTTATAAAACTGTCATTGCTTCTAATTTCGAATTTTGTTTAAAAGGAAGTGAATATATTTTCACAAATTGCCCCTACTGTGCCAAAAGAAAGTTACTAAGTAAGTAGGCATCTGTGTAATTGTGAGATTACTGATGGTAGAGTTCAGGATTTTCTATTAAGTCAGTGAATCTAAGGAGATCTACAGCGTTAAAAGTGTTGTAAACGGTTACTCAGTACAGCGTGTAGCCTGAGTCCATCCAGGATGGCTGTACCCAATTTTGATATCATATTGTGGGTAAATAAGCACTGGAAAAGTAAACCAAAGAACCACAATGTATCTTATACTTTTGTACACCATGTTTTGTGGGTAATTTTTCAGTTTTCCCAAAAGGCTGATAGATTTCAGTATTTTGAATACATCAGTGTTAATTTTGAGTTGGCAGAGTTAACCTAACCAACTACCATTATGTTCTGGTACCAAGGGATATACCTTTCAATAAAGTTATTGAAATGCATTCCTTTGCTGAGTGGTCTTCTGTTTCTCCTCTGATTCAATTAACTTTTTTGGCAATGTGGAAAAAAAAATAAAAAGCTATCTACTCAGTATATTTAAATTTAGCACTAAAGATGCATGGTAGTAGAAACAAAATCTCTTTTAATAGTATGACTATTGACTAATTGACACTTTTTACTTTCTGATGGTTTTTTAAACTAGACACTGATAAATATGCTTAATGTTCATTAAAAAGTTAGTGTTTATGCACTATTGGTCACTTTTGTCCTTGAGATTGATCACTACTGTGGATGTCCTTAATACAAACTCACCCTTAGATTGTGCCCACCAAAAGTTCTGGGCAAACCCTCTTACCTAATTATTCCAGCAAAGTGGTTTGGTAATTTCTGGTAACTATCAAGTATTGTATTAGCCTTTTAGATCAACTAGTAATTATTGGAACTGAAACAATATATGATTTTGAACTGTTCATGTTTAATTAAATTAACAATACATCTTATAAAGTAGACACCGCAAGGAATTATTGATGAAAGAAAAACTGTTATAAAAGGTTCCTTTTGCATTTGAGTCAGATTATATATCATAATCCCCTCTTTTCACAAGTGTTATTTTTAAAAAGAGCACCTGAACCTTATATGTCCTGACAATTATGTGACATACTATCTAAAAACAATAGACATTTCTAACATCTGTGGTTAGTAATGATAGTTTTTACTGTCTGGTATGATTGTGAGATTTTTTTTTTTAAATGAGTGATTTTATTTTATTTTTTTTTTTTGAGGAAGATTAGCCCTGAGCTAAGTGCTACCAATTCTCCTCATTTTGCTGAGGAAGACTGGCCCTGAGCTAACATCTGTGCCCGTCTTGCTCTACTTTATATGTGGGACACCTACCACAGCATGGTGTGCCAAGCAGTGCCATGTCCACACCTGGGATCTGAACCGGTGAACCCCGAGCTGCAAGAGCGGAACATGCAAACTTACCCACTGCACCACCAGGCTTGACCAGGGATGTTTTATATGAATCATCTCATGTAATCGTCCATACTGAATGAAGTTATCCCAATTTACAAATGAACTGGAGCCACCAAGAAGTGATTAGCTGAAGGTCACATATGTGGTACTTGAAGGTAAGATTCAAATCCAAGCAGTTCTGACCCAAAGGCTGTGCTCTTAAGCACCCTGCACATTACCTCCCAAAATAGAAGATTAAATGGTCTCTTGAAATTGTATAATTTCCAATGACAACTATATTCTGGCCATATTAACTTCAACACTACCATCGTGAATTTATTTTCCTAATAATAGAATTCTTTTTTTCGGTGAGGAAGATTGTCCCTGAGCTAACATCTGTGCCAGTCTTCCTCTATTTTGTATGTGGGACACCTCCACAGCATGGCTTGATAAGCAGTGTATAGGTCTGAACCTTGGAACCCCAGGCCACTGAAGCAAAGCATGCAAACTTAACCACTACGCCATGAGGCAAGCCCCCTAGAATAATTTTTATAAAATGTGTTATTGCTTACTCAGTGTGAAATCTGTAACTTTTCATAAACCAAAACCGGAAATATAAGTCAAATAAGATGAATTAAAAGATAAGCCTTTTTTAAATATCAATTTCATAAAGTAGATTTAGGAGCAATCAAAATGACCAGGGATAAAGAAGGATGTTAAGTAGTGATAAAAGAATCAATTCACCAAGAAGATATGACCATCCTAAATATGTATGCACCCAACATCAGAGCTTAAAAATACAAGATGCAGTGGCCAGCCTGGTGGTGTAGTGGTTAAGTTTGCACACTGCTTCAGCAGCCCCGGATTCACAGGTTCAGATCCCAAGCATGGACCTTGCACCACTTGTCAGACCACACTGTGGTGGTATCCCAAATAAAATAGAGGAAGATTAGCACAGATGTTAGCTCAGGACCAATCTTCCTCACACACACACAAAATACAAGAAGCAAAAACTGACCACATTGAAAGGATAAATGGACAAACCAATTCTTGGAGACTTAAACACTCCTCTCTAATCTACAGACCTACTAGAAAATCAGCAAGGATGTAGAAGAATTGAATAATACCAACAACCAACTGGCTACTTGACATAAAAAACTTCATCCTAAAACAACAAGATAGCATTCTTTTCAAGTGCATATAGCACATTCACCAAGATAGACCATATCCCATGTCATAAAACAAACCTTAAGAAATCTGAAAGAACTGAAATCATACAAAGTGTGTTCTCTGACCTTAAACTAGAAATCAATAACAGATAACAGGAAAATCTCCAAACTCTTAGAAATTAAATAACAGACTTCTACATAATTCATGACTCTAGGGGAAGTCTCAAGCAAAATAAAACATTTGAACTGAATTAAAATATCAGAATGTATAGAACGCAGTTAAACCAGTGCTTAGAGAGTAATTCACAGTATCAACTGCTTTAATTAAGAAAAACAGCTCTCAATAATGTAAGCTTCCACTTTAAGAAACTAGAAAAAGAGCAAAAAAACCCAAAGCAAGCAAAAAGAAAAGTCATAAAAATTGTAGGGGTAAAAAATTAATGAAATTGAAAACAAATTAACAAGAGGGAAAATCAACAAAATCAAAACTTAGTTCTTTGAAAAGAGCAAGAAAATTAATAAACCTCTAGCAAGATTGACAAAGAAAAAAGACAGAAATGACCAATCTTAGGAATGAAAGACATACCACTACAGACTCTAAAGACGTTAAAAGGACACTAAGGAAATACCACAAACAACTCTGCACAGAGTTAGATGAAATGAATCAATTCCTTGAAAGACATGGACTACCAAAACTTAACTGAAAGTAGATAACCTGAATAAGTTCTAGTTTTTTTCCTTTTTTAAAGATTTTTTTTTTCCTTTTTCTCCCCAAAGCCCCTTGGTACATAGTTGTGTATTTTTAGTTGTGGGTCCTTCTAGTTGTGTATGTAGCATGCCGCCTCAGCATGGCTTGATGAGCGGTGCCATGTCCATGCCAAGGATCCAAACCAGCGAAACCCTGGACCGCCAAAGCAGAGCGTGCGAACTTAAGCACTCAGCCACGGGGCTGGCCCCTACAGTTATTTTTTAAAATTAAATTCATTGTTTACAATCTCACTGGCAAATACCATGAAACATTTAAAGAAGATACTTAACACAAATTCTACAAATCTCTTCCAAAAAGTAGAAGAATCGTTTCCCATTTCATATTATGAGGCCAGCATTAACCTGATGCCAAACCAAAACAAATACAAAAAAACAACTACTTACCAACAACACAAATGAACATACACAAAAATGCTCAATAAAGTAATCCAGACATACAAAGTGAATAATAAACTATGACCAAGTTTGGGATGGGAGGAGATACAAGAATGGCTCAAAATTTGAAAATTAATCAATATAATCCACCATATTACCAGTATAAAGAAAAAAACATGATCAAATCAATTGATACTGGGGCCGGCCTGTGGCCGAGTGGTTAAGTTCTCGCACTCTGGTGGCCCAGGGTTTCACCAGTTTGGATCCTGGGTGCGGACACTGCACCGCTCATCAAGCCATGCCAAGGCAGCATCCCACATGCCACGACTAGAAGGACCCACAACTGAAAAATATACAGCTGTGAACCAGGGGCACTTTGGGGAGAAAAAGTAAAAATAAAATCTTTAAAAAGAAAATCAATTGATACATAAAAAGTGTTTGAGAAAATTCAAATCCAATCATGAGAAAAATTCAGTTAACTAGGAACAGATGGGAACTTCCTCAATCTGATAAAGGTCATCTATAACAACCTACAGCTAACATAATACTTAATGGTGAAAGAATGAATGCTTTTGAAACTAACATCCAGAACAAGACAGGGATGGCCACTTTCACCACTTCTATTCTTCAAGCAAGTGCAATCAGGCAAGAAAAGGAAAAGACCTACAGACTACAACAGACGAAAGAAAAAAAACTGTTCCTATTTGTGGTTTATGCAGAAAATTCCAAGGAATCAACAATAAAAAACTAGAATAAGTGAGTTTAGCAAAGTCACAGGAAAGAAAGTCAACAAAAAAATCAAACATTTCTCTGCACTAGCAATGTTAATTGGGAACCGAAATTTGAAAAAAAAAAATCATTTCCAACAGCTCCAGAAAATGAACACTGGAATAAATCTAACAAAAGACGTGAAGGTTCTATAAGCTGCAAACCAGAAAATGCAGATGATCGAAATCAAAGAGCTCCTAAATAGAGACACACCTCATGTGCATGGATTGGAAGACTTACATTACTCCAATGAAAACCTCAGCAGGACTTGTTGTAGATACAAACTAGCTGATTCTAAACTTTATATGGAAAGGCAAACTTAAAATAGCCAAAACATTTTTGAAAAATAATTAAGTTGAAGGAATCATGCTACCCAATTTTAAGACTTACTATAAGGCTACAATTATCAAGACAGTGTGGTATAGAGGAAGGTAGATACATGGAACAGAATAGAGAGACCAAAACTAGACTATAAATAGCAATTGATTTTTGACAAAAGTGCAAAAATCACTAAGAAAATAGTCTTTTCAACAAATGATTTTGAAACAATTGGACATCCATATGCAAAATAATGAACCTCCACCTATATTTCACAGCTTCTACAAAAAATAAAACGGGTCACAGATCTAAACATAAAACAAAATTATAAAACTTTTAGAAGAAAACATTGGAAAAGATCCTCACAACCTCGGATTACACAAAGAGTTCTTAGACATGACACCCAAAGCACGATGAGTTAGACTACATCAAAATTAAAAACATTCATGCTTCAAAAGATACCATTAAGAAAGTGAACAAACCTACACAATAGGATAAAATATATGCAAATCATATATCTGATAAGGGACTTGTGTCCAGAATATATTAAGAACTCTTACAACTCAATAATATAAAGACAGATATGCAATTAAATAATGGACAAAGGATGTGAATAAACATTTCTCCATGGAAAATACACAAACGGTCAA